GGGGGTCTGAATACTTTCCGTACCCACTGTATATATATATATATATATATATATACTGTATATATATCCATAAATGCATGTATGTTTTAGTTCAGTTCTCCATATATCCTCTGAAGCTTTTTTCTCTGGACAGGCATTATATAGATGTATACATAGTTCACTTCTCCTCTATGTGTGTGTGTGTTTGTCTGCGTGCCATCTTTTGAGAGGGAATGTCGGTAAAAATAAAATATGACATTGTGGTGGCATATGACATCATTAACGGGTGTCATATGTGTGCCGTTGCCTTTCACCTAGCGTATTGTCTAGGGATTTAGTGTGTTTGAATTTGCCCTAAGTGTGTTTGAATGTTTGTGCGTGCGTGCGTCCGTCTGACTGTTTGTAGGGAGAAGGTAAAGTAAAAGTTGTTAGACTGACTTTGTCGATGATGTTTGTCTATATAGGTGCATGTAGGTACGAGGCACGCACATGTGTACGTAATCTTTAAGACGGTTTTATTTCTGTGTGACTGAATATGAATGTGTGTGTGTATGTGTGCGTAAGATGTTTCTCTCCCAAGCCGAGTAGTGTCGATAGGCGGCTCTTGCTGTGCTCTCCAAGAGAACTTACACCCCTTGCGTCGCATAATTCTCACAGCTCATTGACTCCTAACGTTTCAATAACCCCTGCCTATGCCTGAAATGCTGCCAGTTTCGGGAGGAATGCACTCAAACATCTTTAAACGATTGAAGGATGAAGAAAAGCACTCAGATGTCCTCTAAACGACTGAAGGATGAATGAAAAAGGGATGACTGTTGAAGTCCAGCAGCTTTCTTTTTATTTTTATGTTTTTCTATGTCATCAGTGTTCATGTAGAAGATCCATATTATAGTATTCAATGAAGATGCTTAAATGTGTTTTATACTTTTGAAGTTTTAGAGTTGTCATTGGTTGCCAAATATTGTGTTCTTGCTGAGTAAATGCTGTGAGGTTGGTATATAAATATAAATATATAATCTTTCTTTCATTGTGTTTTTTTTCCCTGTATTCTTTCTTCAGAGTGCCACAAGCCCCACTGCTTTTCTGAAAGCTTTGTGTGTGCAAAGCACTAGTTATGATTGAAATAAAATACAATTCTGGTTTATCAATTAGTGCATGGGTATTTGTTCTTTTTTTTTTAATGAAATTTATTTGTATATTGGTAGCAGTCTCTTCAAAATTTCATTCAAAGTTATCAGATAGTTATTATTACATTATATAATGCTTAATAGATGATCATTTAATTATGCATTCAGATAGATACAAATGTTTAAGTACTATTCATATATTATTTTAAGCATTATATAATTTGTTAATGACTAATTCAGTGAATTGATATGAAATAAAATAAGTTTTACCTATATATTTTATATACTGTGGGGTCCAAAGCCTGAGAACAGTGAAATTGCCTTTATTTTGCATTGTTTGCATTACAAATTACAATATTATAATTGGAGTGAAAGGTTAAATCTAAAAATTGACACATTTCTGAATGGTTCGGTATGTGGTTTGTTGACTTGAACTCCGAACATGAAAATCTGATCTTTTGTGCACAAGAGTTCACATGGTCACTGCCAAAAATGTCTTATTTGATTTAGCGACCTTGAAATACACAATCTTTAATATTTTTTATTTATTTTCTTTGTTTTAAATTTTCAGTTTGATTTTACATCTCAGATGTGGTTTCAGACTTTTGGATCAAACTTCCAATTTATTGTGTTCAATTTATTGTTTCAGAGAGATGCTATCTATTTATCTGCTTTGATCTGAAGTGTATTTGTTTCAGTCTTTTATATATTTCTATCAGTCAAAAAGACTGATTTGAGCTTTTGTCTCAGCTCTATTAAAGTGTGTGTGTGTGTGTGTGTGTGTTGCCTGTAGGGGTTAGAGGTGCTTCCTCTAGTCTGCAGTGAAGGTGTGTTAGATGGCTGAGCCTCAGGTGAGCAGGTGATCGGTGAATGGCCACTCTAAACTTCACTGCAGTCTGTTCTCAGGCATGTGTGCACAGGTATGCATTGTTCCAAAGAAGGGCAAAGGTCATCAGTAGTTTCTGTCTCTTACATCACTGTAGGTGAGAGGAAGATGACCAGGTGCATGTGGAATTAAGTACCTGTGTGTGTGTGTGTGTGTGTGTGTGTGTGTGTTTTCTACAGGCAGGATGATTATTATATGATTGACAGCTAAGTTAAAGTTGGATCACATCTCAGAGGTGACATTCAGACAACATACATGATTTGAAGGACAAATGCAATGTTACACGTAATACATTTAACCCTGTTTTGACTGATAATGTGTTATACTATGCACTGAACAAAAATGTAAAATGGTTAAGTTTGCAGTCCCAAAACCCAGAAGAGAATTTGCATTTTTGAGTCATGGGTTCCCTTGGGAATTTTCCTCTGGGTTTTTAGAAAAGCAGTTTTGATTTATGATTCAAATCTGTGGTTAAAATTACCTGAATAGATGCTCACAGATTGTTTTATAATATAAATCACATACAGTCATAGATCAAATTTAAATTTTAGAGCCATTGTGTTTTGTTTTTATGTAAGTTACTAAATTAGGGTAGGGTTAGGGTTAGGTTAGGGTTAGGGTTAGAGCCTGTGGTTATTGCATGCTTTCGTTGTATAGAAAACAGCAGCAATATTATTTCACATATCTCCTGTTGTAATCTACAGAAGAAAGTCATATAGGTGAGTAAGTGATGGCAGAATTTAAATTTTACAGTGATCTGTCCTGTAAGAGGTCACAATTTAGCCTTTTTTTCTGTTCAAAAAGGCAGATATCTGATCATGTGCAGAGAATATCATAGCAAACTTGAGATTGTGAGTGTGTGTGTGTTCACATGTTCTCATGAGTCCACATCTCTACACAGACTGAAGAGTGAGTTATTCAGTGAGACAGCGAGTCCCAAGAGCACCGTGTGTGTGTCCACGTGATGAACACATAATGCAGTTCTCCCAGTTCAATGGGAGGTCCAATGAGTGGACCTGTCAGACCCTTGAGCCTCATGGTTACTGCCTGATGCTGCCTCTACAGTGCTGTGTGGGTTAAACGGCCACTCATGCCTGTCATGGCTGCCCAAGCAATGGGGACTAACAGCCCTGTGGCCCCCTGATATTACTAGTATAGGAGAAGAACAGAGATTGCGCATTACAGTGATTTCAGCATGGTAAAAGTGTTGTTAGTGCTTTTATAAAATGGCAGCAACAGACATATGATAAACGATGCTAATGTTTAATAGATAATCACAATTATTAATAATAATCATGTCTTGGCAGGTAGGGTACATCTGACATTTTCTACATTTTGCTAATCAGTACTTTAGTCATTTAGTTTTCCAGTAAACATATCTTTAAAAAAAAACAACAACAACCTTAAAACATTATATATATTTATGAGAAAATGCTAATTAGATTAACAAAATAAAATATAGCCCTGTTCTCAGAGAACATATGCTACCATTCAAAAGTTTGCATTAAAGTGTCTTATGGTCACCAAGGCTGCTTTTTATTTGATCATAAATGAAGTAAAACGAATAATATTGCAATACATTATAACAATTTAAAATAACTGTTTTCTATTTTAATATATTTAAAAAAAAAAATTCTTCCTGTGATGGCAAAGCTGAATCTTAAATTGCCTTTATTTGTTGTTTTCTTGTTTTAAGCATAAATTGAACTAGATTTAATGAGATGTATGCTTAAAGTAAAACTAAGTTATTTGCACAAGGTAAGAATTCAAGATGTATTCTCTTGCACAGTTTACATGGTGTGCAAATGTATCTTATTTATGGATGTTTAGATATTTTTACTAGAAAACAAACAAAACAAAAAATACAGATTATTTGTTATACCCCAAGTGTAGGTATGTGGTTCACCCAATTTGAGAACAGAGGCGCTTAGTTTGCTCATTACAGGACGCAGGGATCCGGGGCTCTCAGCAGTGTGTGTGTCTGTGTTTGTGATGGAATAGATCTGGCTTTTGACTGATGTGCTGATAGTGATGTGAAACTCTTGGAGTACATTTTTGGCACTTGAGTGAAGGGACACTGCTGTGATCTGGCTTAAAGGATTCCAGTGTGTGTGTGTGTGTGTCTGTCTGTGCTGTTGACAGTTTCATTCTGCTAAACTCTGCTGTGACCTGACTTTAGAAATGTATTTGCAGCGCTCCAGAGAGAGATACTGTGTGTGTGTGTTGGTGGCCTTCTGAAGTCCTTCCACTCTGCAATGGCTTTGGTCTCAGGGACCACTTTCGAAGTGCCTGTCATGTTGTATGACCCACTTCCTGCCCTGTCCCACAGCACTGGCCACCACTGGCCCCAAAACCTCAAACACACCAAAGCCACTTCAGTTCCCCAACCTAAACACTGCAACCATTTCATACACACATATTGTATTTGAGGTGGTTAAACTTCAAGAAGACCGTCCGTATGATGTGTGCGGCACTGGTGTTTATAAGTGTTTGTTTTATGAAAGGTAATGGGTTTATTGCATTATCTCTCCCTCTCTCAGCTCAATCTAGCCGGACATAATAGAGCCATCTGCAACTCATCTAATATGGATGAAAGGCCTTCATAATATTGCTGGCCTGTGTGTGTCTGCACATATGCTCCATGATCTCCAATTTCAAATCTTCTTTCTTTCTTTCTTTCTTTCTTTCTTTCTTTCTTTCTTTCTTTATCATGTTTAATGCATTTTCTGGACACAAGATGGATAAAGCCAGCTATTAGAGGAGAATTAAGATGTTTCGATAGGCCTGCGAGAAAAGATGAAGAAGGAGAGGGTGATATATTCATCAGGTACGATATTCAGCTTATCTGCTCCGACCTTGAAGGGTGTATGTATGTGTGTTTGGCCACGTCACAGTCGTACACACACCTACACACTCTCCTCTCTGCTTCTTGATTGACAGGTGCTGAAATGAGCCCCTGAATAGCT